CTGACAAATGTATGTAAAGGAAAATGAGAAGTCAGGACTAAACTAAGATGCATTCTAAATTCTAAGCAAAGCTTATCTAAGCAAACTGTTGTAGCATACCTACGGACGATAATGGGTATGTCCCCATTCACATAAATACATATATACTGTATGTTGTTCTACAGTTGAAGATTCGTTTCCAGGCATAGAGGATCCCGAAATGAGACTCTATCGAAAGGCAGAGTCTCGTCTCTGGAAACAGCTATCCGACCCAGTTTTATACGAGGTCATCGGGGAATTTTTAGCCGAGACTACGGGATCGGATACTGTACTGTCTTATACCACATCTGACCGCGTGGGGTGTTTGGTAGATATCCTGGAGATTCATTATGTAATTCACTTAAATAACTTCTAGGAGTTGACTACTACTTCTATGCACCGCTGGCGAATCTTATATGTGTTGTTGTTGTCCTAAGCATTACTGTTCATTATCAACCTACGTTTGATTATTCTATTCAGTAACTTTCCTCAGGTTACAACACACATTTTCTAAGCAAAGAAACAGAAAAATCTCGATAGATGCAAAGAAAAAAATACTGAAATGTTATGAAACATCAGTATATATGGTAGTAAATGCTGCACAATCTCCTCTGAGATGAAGATGATTGTATTAACAGAATTGATGTTCGACTGAAAGATGCTGAGAATACGATGGAATGAACATTTGAGCAGCAACGAAGTTTTAGAGAAAATAGAAAGAAAATGGACATTTTTGTTTAGGATCAGAAAGAGACAGTTGAAATTTTTAGGGCACACAATGAGAAAAGGGGGCTTAGATAATTTGACAGTGATTAGATATATTTAAGGCGAGAGCGGCAAGCGAATCCGCGTCTACCCTACCTAAGCAACTTGTGTTGATAGAATATAGATTAGGAGCGTTTTTTTTTTAATCGAGTTCACCTCATGCAAGGGAGTAAAGCCACTGAAACACAAGGGGTTACTGGGTGTGCAAGAGTTAGTAACAGAAATTTTACTTAAGAGTGAGAACAAAAGAAGAGTTATCAGGAGGACAGTAGATAGTGATTGACATTGCATTAATACTTTGGCAGATTAAAGTTGGCTGGAACACATCGATTAGGAAGGGAGGTCCGAAAGTGAAAAATAGGAGAAAAGAAACTGTTAGCGTAGAATTTACAGTTATATCAAGCGAAACCCACCTGTAAATAGATAAGACCCCGTTTCCAGTCTAGGCACCATAGCAACGAGCTCATCCCAACAATTACCATGAAAATATTTATAGAAAAGACAAAGTGGATCAACCTTACAGCGGTGGAAAGTGACTCATGCCGAGATTTACTACGGGCCACAAAGGACAGGATACTCGCAGTGTACTCTATACTTTTCGCGTTGTGCCATACCTAAACTACGCTTAGAAAATCAACAAAGGACAAGAAATTGTAGAGAGGCATGATCGCCTACGTCCTGAAGAGACACGGTATATAAAAGATGCCAACGTTTATTGTATTAGATTTGCATCATTTTAGGGGGAAGAATTATAGATAGGTTCTTCATGAAAAATTGTATTTCGTTTTATGAAAATTAACATATATTTCCTTTATGATCTTAATGTGCCATGCCATTATTATTGGCCATTATTTTTCGAAACATATTGTGATCCTTCAAGGTGCAAAACGGTTACAGCAAAATATCGTTGCCAGAATAACTGTTATGACCACGAGGCAGCAAAATCATTAAGACACAAGCTGCAGAAGCTAATAATGTGGTTCAGTAAAGCCTTAGGGCACGGTTTCTATCCACTGAGACTACATCGATCCGTTGAGGAGCGTGTGACTAGAATCGACCGCCGCTTGAAAGCTCGGTAATCAATTGGCAACACAGAATGGACGAATTACCATTTCCCAGGAGAAAAGGTTTGCATCCTGTACGTTCTTCCGCAGATTCTGTACTGATTTATCACCTGTCAGGTTCGCACGAGACGCAGTTAAGCATTCTCGCGCGAGCTTTTTCCAGAATACATTCTAGTCTTTTGTTGGTAGGTTATTGAATGTGAAGAATACACAGGTATGATCCATTTGTTGAAATATATCTACACACACAGACACACACACACACATATATATATATATATATATATATATATATATATATATATATATATATATATTCGCCTGATGACGGTTACAAAAATAGGAAAAGAAATAGCGTAGTAAAAAATTTTGAAAATAAAGTATAATATATATTTAACATAAATGTGTGTGTGTATGTGTGTGCGTGCGTGTGTATGTGAATGTGTGTGTGTTTGTGTGTCGGGGGTTGGTAATCATTTCATTGGGGGTTACTGAGTCTGAAATAATTATAAAAAGAAACACTATTACGGAGCCTGAACAATAGAAGAGTAATGATGAAGACAGTAGTTAACTATTGACATTGCGTTTAAATTATTGATGATCAAAGGAAAAGTGAGGGGAAAGAAAATGTTATCGTAGAACTTACGTTTACCCCCAGACATTTCATCTGAATCTTCATGAGACCTTGTTGCTAACATAGTACTTCGCTTGAATATATATATATATATATATATATATATATATATATATATATATATATATATATAGAGAGAGAGAGAGAGAGAGAGAGAGACAGACAGACAGACAGACAGAGAGGAGAGTCCGATAGATAGATAGATAGATAGATAGATATGGTTATCGTAATGCTGGCGTAGATTTATATTATACTGCAGTAATTTTTTCATTTTAAAAAATGATATTTGGCATTTTAAATAAAGGCGTAGGAAAAAAATAAAGAACGTGTGAATATTGTGAATATGATTTTTTTATTATGAAATGGAGATTACTTTTTATTTTTATACACACACACACACACACACACACACACACATATATATATATATATATATATATATATATATATATATATATATATATATATATATATATATATAAAACACACTGTAATATACCTACAAATTTATATTAAAATTAATCTCGATCAGCAGAAATTTATTTTAGACCAACATCTAACCATGCATTCATTACTTTTGTTTAAAATGCCCGGGTTATTTAAATGTTTTAAGATAACGAAATTCTCTACATGACATAAGTTATATTTATTTCTTTTTGCGTTATAATATTTACCTATTTTTATAATAGCCACTTCATTTAATGATGAGATGACGTCATTCTTTAAATGACGAAAAACACAGTTAAGCATATTCGCGGGTGTTTCCATCAAAATACATTCTAGTTCTTGTTGGTAGGTTATTGAAGGTGAGGGGGCATTGCTGATTTTGTATTTTATCTTAAGCCATTCAATGTTGGTAAAAACGAAATTTCCAAGGATTTTCAGTGGAACCAAAATAAAATTTAACATCGTTACCGGAATGTATGCTCGCACGGCATACAATATCATCAATGATGCATTAACCGTTTAAGGGACAGATTATATTTTTTCGGCATGTTGATAGAAATGGTAACGCCTTCTTTGTTCGAAATATATATATTTTTAGTATAATGTTGTTATACTCGGACATGGTTTTATTAATATATATCTATGCCAAAATTACGATGACCCGATATATTTTTTTAAAAATTTAAGTTTCATAACGTTCAGTCTATGCTCAGCACCTGAAAATAGTTTTCTGCATGAATCTCTGAGTCAAGCTATCTGTGAGGGATTATGTGTGTGTGTATATATATATATATATATATATATTAGTAAAAAGATTTACATTCCGGCATAATTTAATTAATTTGTTAAAATTAGTTTTTAAATGGATTCTCATAACTTAGTAAATGATTTGTTTTTATTTATGTATTAAACAGTATATTTATGAATTTATATCTACCGGTCTGAATATACGATAAATCGTGTTAGAAAAAATATGCATCCTTCGGCATGATTCGAACCTACGCCCCCAATTTGAAGGCTTCGTTAGATCTAACTTGCCTTGGCTCACCTTGTCCCGTAGGACCTCTCTCTCCCTTCCCCCATTCTCATTTTCTCATTCTCTCTCTCTCCCTTCCCCCATTCTCAGTTTCTCATTCTCTCTCTATCTCCCTTCCCCCATTCTCATTTTCTCATTCTCTCTCTCTCTCTCTCTATATATATATATATATATATATATATATATATATATATATATATATATATATATATATATATATATATATATGTATGTATTGTGTGTGTGTGTGTGATTGCTTATATGTGTGTGTGTGTGTGTGAGAGAGAGAGAGAGAGAGAGAGAGAGAGAGTAAATAAAGAAGAGAGGGACATGCAACAAATATACGAGGTTGCAATTTTACCTGGTATTCCCACACTGCATAAAGAAAAAAAAATAATTGTTGTGCTGCTGTAATTTTCTTTGTAAAGCGTTGTGCATTTGGATATAAATTACGATTCAGCAATCATGACTGAAGCAATCGTAAGTGTCTATTTATTATTTGTTTGATGTAAAACTGAGGTTTTGGCGCCCAGATTTATATAAAATAATGTATTTCGGAAAAAAAAAGAGATCCTATCAATCACGCATCAGCAAAATTATTCAAACATCTCGTGCTGTACACCCTACTAACTGGCGCCAAATATTGGGTTATATACCAGCAACAACTAGGTCTACATGAGCGCTTCCCTTAATCTTGACTCCGCACCGATGTAAAATATCATTTTAGTGATTTCATCATTAACACTAAGCAGCTGGACTCAGTCATAGTCATAAATATTCAAGTTATGTTGCAAAATACACATCTATATGGTGAGAATGTTGGATGCACGGTTTGTGTAATGGACAGGAGCAGGAAATGAGAAATCGAAGACGCGAGTTCGAATTCCAGTTGGGTTCGATGCATTTATATACTTGCAAATAGCTTTTGGAAATGTATAAAATCATCTCCTCCCTTCCCCCAACTATGGGTTAAATATAAATTCTATCTCGAAAAAAATAATTGCTTTTCTCCAGACAATTGTTAATGCAATATTACCTCGCAAAAGTAATTATTCTTATACACCGAACTGCTGCTATAACCCACAAGAATCACTTCTTCCAACTGTTCAAGCGAGATAGTTTAAGTCGCAACATAAGTAGATTTCTCCCTGCTTGCACCAATTGTAACCGTGTAATCAAAGAGTCTTTTTTGCGTATGGAATGAGACAACTCATAGCTTCTAACAAGTTTGTCTCTTGTGACTACAGGCGTCTCTGTAATAGTATCTTAAATAAGAATTAGTCATCTATTCCGGCTTCAGTTTGGTCTGTTAATATTAATAAAACAGAATGCATTGCTCGTAAATTCTCAAATTCTAATCTTGACTATATCTGGAGTCTTCCCACCTTAGAACTGTGTCCCTATTGAGTGAGATGTTTATAACTCTGTCCAGGGTTTCTGCTATCATCTCTAGACTATATCCCCTTAAATCATGTGAACTTCATGGTATCCCTTAAAATTCTTCATAAGAAATATGCTCCAGAACTGAGTCTCATTCTTTCTAAGTGCCTTTCTGCTTCTTGTTTTCTTACTTCCTTGACATCCAGTTCTGTCGTTCCTGTCGTTAAGAACGCTGATCATTCACTCTATTAGAACACGACCATTTTTCGCTAAAGTATTAGACGCTCTAATCAACGCAGAATTGGTTAAGCATCTAACATTGCCTGGTCTTCTTTCAAATAAGCAATATGACTTTCGCTTCTCGAGTTCAACAGCTGATACGCCAATGGTTGCCGTTGCATGACATATATCGAAGATATTTGACAGGTTTGGCATATTAGTCATCTTCACAAGTTGAAAGGTTAGGATATTTCTAAACTGATCTGGCATTCCTTATCAAATGGCATAATGAAAGTCGTCTTGAACTAACAATCTCCAAGATCACTTTGCATTAAAGCAGGCACCTCAAGCGCTCTAATCTTGGATACATATTGTTTCTAATTTTCATCACCGACCTTCCTGCTGGTATCAGTTTTCAACTCATTAATTAAATTAATTGATTAAATACTGTTCCGTCTGAAGTCTGGAGTGATGTTCGTCAGGAGTCAGTCAGTTAGAGCGAGCAAGTCAGTAAGTCGAGTCAGAGGCAGTCCGAAACAGAGTCGTGTTCAGACAATTACTACTAAACCTGATTGTTCGTACTAACACTTTATACTTCTCTGTATATATTCCTGTTTGTAATATATCTGTGTTATTCCATATCCGTGTTCGAGTTCTTCTTTATTGGTTCTACCTTGGACTATCACCATGTGACAAGGAACCGGACCATAACAGTAACCCCTTTTACCAGCTATGGCTGACACTAACCTCTAGGAGAGTGATACATTGCGTCTTCTCGGATTGACATGAAGTTGAAAGATTATATTGAATCAATTGCTAGATCTTCTGCTATGAAAGTTGGTTACATCTGTCGTGCTATACCGTATTTATCACCAGAATATATTTTGCATAACTATAAATCTACTACTCGTCTTTTCTTTGAATATTGCAGCAACATTTATTTGGTCAGAGAATTATTGATATCATCCAAAGACGGATCTGCAATATTATTGATCAGGACCTGGTAACTGCTTTCAGTCAATTTCACACCGACCCAACGTAGCTTCCTTGTGCCTTTTCTATATATACATTAATGCTAATTGTTCTGAGTACTTTCCTCTATAGTACCTGTATTATATAAAGTAGCAATATTAAATTGATGGCAATTTTACAGTTGAAATGGATATATTTAACCGTAAGCTCTATGCTAACGATTTTGTCTCTCGCTTGTGGAACTCCCTTCCGGGTCCTTGCTTCCCAATCATCCTTGACCTTCAAAAATGTATATTCAATGCCAACCGTTCGTTATCTTTTTGATTATTGTTCTTTTAATTGTTCTCTCGCCTTAATAGAATGTTTGTTCTTATATCCTTTAACAACCTTGCATCTTAATGGTTTTACTGTCTTGCTTGTGGAGAAATGTCTAAAAAATATATATTTCATCATTCAATAACCAACAAAGGATTGATAAATCGTAAAATGTAATTAAGCAAGCAAACCGGGCCAGCGTTTTACATGAACTCTCCTCTTCGGAGAATTAGGCACTGGGTAACGGAAAACAAAACATAGTGCACCATCCTTTTATACTCCAAGAAATGGAGTCATATTCTTTGAAAAATACATTCCACCAACAAAGTAAAACAGTGAAAAATGATCTTTCAGTTAACATTTCAGGTCGAAGTCATCGCTATAAAAAAAAAGAATTATGTACACAGGAACGGCATAAACCACTGGAGACCTGCTGAAATATTTCATATCATAATCTGTAAAGGCAATCCATTATTTATAATATTTAATATGACTAAAAATATTTAAAATACATATAAATAATTGATGAATTTTTTAACGATGTAGTTGTGCCTTGCTAAGCCGTTTTCATCAAGACGTCATTCATAAGATACTCGTTAGAATTTATTTGAATTGCAACTTTTCAACAATCTTGCCAGCATCGAAATCTTATCTGTCACGCTGACAACATCCTGTAGAGAAAAAAAAAGATGGCGTTAAACAAATGGGATTGGAATCCATAAGGCTTACTGAGACGAATTGTAACAGATAAAACTGAACTTTACCTGTACGAGCTTAAAGATAAAACTCATTTGAAGCAATAGTTAAGCAATGGTTAAGCAAAGGTAGAAAGGAACCAATCACAAAAATGCAAGCCGATCAAAGGAAAGGTTATGGCATCTATTTTCTGAGAGACAAACGTCATTTTGCAAGTATACATTTTAGAGGGTGGGATGGGGAGAGAGAATAATTCCTGCTTATTACGAAAGAGTTTTGAGAAAATTAGCTGAAGATGTCACGGTAGAAATAAGTAGCAGTTTTTTTTTTTCACCAGGATAATATCCCTCCTGATTTCCCTCATTGTAGAATAACAATAATAAACAGCACTTACCGGCGTAAAGGTCCCAGCTAGCGTCCAGCTGGCTGACAAAAATAAAGTAGGTTGTAACTTAATACAAACCCTGCAAAGTAACTGATGAATCAAGCTGGTATTTATATAGAAATACCTCCACTCAGGTACCAGCAGCCAATCACAGCCCAAGCAATGGACTATCCCACTTTAGCACAATGAGATGCTCCATGGCAACATAAATAGCTCTCTTTCTAAAGGTTGGATCATTATTCACTTAGCTTGCTCCACAACTGAGCGTTTATCTCTACCAGGTGATTTTTCTACACCTCATGAAGCAGAAAGAGTTTTTTTTTTAAATTGCCAGGATTTAGACAGGAAAATATTCTGTATCATATTGACAACATACTTTTGATGATATTGAACGTGCGGATTTCCTTTAGGATAATGACACTGCCAATTTCCATCATGAATCATGAAACAGTTTTCACAGCGAATTTCTCTCATGAAACAAGAAAAAGCTTGTCAAATAAGATAAACAAACAAAATAACAAATAAAAAAGAAAACAAATTTCCAGGATGTATGCATCAACATTTTATCTATAATATTGACAACATCTTGTACATGATAATGACTGAAAGAAAACAGAAAAAATAACTAACTTTAAATAAATAGAATTGAAATCCAGAAGTCTTGCCTAGCCGAATTGGTACCCATATGAGACAAGGGGAGCAGAGAAAAATTTCGATGCATATTTCGATGCAAAACCGTTGGTCAACTACCTGAAATACATGAGGTTTTATTACCAAAATCTAAAGTGTTTTTCAAATTTACCAATTTGGGGGGGTGTTAATGGCTTCAGAATCTTCTTTGATATCATTACTTTCTCTTTAACCTAAATTCTCCTGGAATTATATAAATATCTATTATCATCGACTATATAAATACTTCCATACTAATTTAATTCATACACAGGAATAAAATGTACCCTTTTAATTCTAATTTTACATGAACCCTTTGAATGTCCAACAAGTAATTATACAGCATTCGGGTAATTATTGTGAATAAAACTCACTATAGTTAAACTTGTTTACGATTATAACTTTCTAAAGACTACTTTACGACAAAGATTACTATTATTTATTGAGCTATATCTGAGAAATTTCGGGCACATAATGTTAATCGAATTCCCAACAATTCAGCATACTCTACGTTAATATATGTTATAGTGCTTACTAATATCTTGGTAATCAATGAAGAGAATGAGTCAGTATAATCCGAAGGCGAGTTTGAATATCAAAAGATGCCATCCGAAAACTGAAAAAAACACATTTTAAGAAACAAAGAAATGACTATTAAAATGCTATATCATATTAATCGTTCTATACGTTACTGAATGTTGGAAATTCCTTCAAAGATGAATAGAAAACTTGGATGTGGATCTGTACAAGAAAGGAAGCATGTAAGCAACGAGGAAGTTTTAAATAAAATAAAGTAAAAAGG